GAAAAGTTTTAAGTACAATTTGTTAATTATATATTTATTTTACCAAAAAATTCAAAAAATATATTTTCCAAAAAAATAAAAAAGTAAAAATATTATATTATTTAATTAAATTATTTTATAATCAGACAATTCAGTCAATTTGAAAAAAGAATTACAAAGTAAATTAATTATATTGATCTAAAATTTTTCAAATTCAAACCAAGTTAAATTGATTTTAGTTTGAATTGAATTTTAATCAAATTGAATCAATTTGGTCAAATTAACTGGATTGGATTGGATATGATTGGCCCTAGTTTTCTTTGATCCATTATAGCAATAAATGTTTGATAACTCATATATTTTTAAACTGTTATAATTTAAAAGTTTGTTTGGTATAATAATTTATGATAATAATTAATGATTTTACTTAAACTGTTATATAATAAGTGTTTAATAAATTTATTTATTTCAAAATCATTACAAAATAAGAGTAACAAAACTTTTTATTTATAGTTTAGAATTAATGGGTAATAATTAGAGTATAAAACATTAATTCATTGGAAGAGTTAGTTTAGGTAGTTTTTATATTAAATTACTTGCAAATTGAAAATTTTTAATTTTATTGATAAATTATTTATTTTAGAGAGAATTCATGAGTATTTAATTATTAAATCAAAATTTAGAGAGAAAAAAAAAAGAAACAAAAAAACAAAAAGAAATAAGTACGAAAGAAAGAATTAACATAAAAACCGACTCAAATTAAAGAACCTACAAAGAAATTTTAAATTGCAATAAATTATTTTAATGGCCCTGCCCGGACTCGAACTGGAAACCTTCAGGGTGTCAGACTAACGTGAAAACCAACTACAACACGACGCCTTGGACTTGATCTTTTTTTAATATTATAATTATTCATTTTACAAATATTGAAAAAGGGTTGAATCACTCCAAGACCTGACAAGTAAATCAAATTGGATGGATTTTAATTGGATGGTTTCAAATTTTTAATTTATTAAGTTGTATAATTTTGTATTTCAAATAAAAAGAGTAAATCTATAACCTATTTACATTCTCTTAAACTGGGTTAAGATGAAGCTAACATTTTAAAAATTAAAATTAAAATTTTTTAATTTATTATTAATTAATTACTTTGTAAAAAAATATATTAATTAATATTAATTCTAATAATCTAATAATAATAACCATTTTATATTTATATTTTTTATTTTATATTAAAATTAAAATTAAAAGTATAATTAATTAAAATTTTAAATTTTAAAAATTAATGAATTTTATATGTAGAAGAGGGATCCAACACACTTACATACATGTTTTACATACTATATTTATATAAAATCTTAACAATTAAAAATGAACAAATAAATTATTGAGAATTATTATGATTTTTTTAGATAAAAATATAATTATATTTAGAAATCCACTTATATATAAATCTTATACATTATACTCATATAAAATGTTATCTATTCATCTTTTCACTTTTAATAGTTGAAATTTATTTACATTTATTAAAAATAATTATTTTTTTATTTAAAAAGTCGTAATAAATCTCAACTATTAAAAATATAAAAATAAATGGATAAGATTTTGATTTTAACTAAGCATTACATTTTTCTATCTTCGGTAACATTACCCATCTATTTTTAATTAGTGCTTCAAAAATTAGTGCATGATTTCTACCATATAAGGTTTTGCTAGGGGTATTTAGGGTAATTTCTTTCATAATAGGTTAATTTGACAAATAATTAACTTGAGTTCTAGTAAACCCATATTTATCATTTATGAATATTTAAGTACACATATAATAGTGTTAAAATTTGAAATTTTCTCATGAACTATTATTTAACAATAAATTTTTGTGAAATATTTTATAGATTAATATTATTAGAGTGTTATAAGAGTAAAGATTCACTTACATACTATGTTTATATAAAATCTTAACTATTCATCTCTTTACTTTCAATGGTTAAGATTTATTATAATTTTTTAAATAAAAAATAATTACCTTTAATAAATGGACGATAATTGATATATCTTCTAGTTTAACAAGTTTTACAACATACTCATTAAGACATTATTATTTTCAAATTTGAATTAAAAGCAATAAAACTTAAAGTTGTAGATTTCAATGGTTAAATTAACAACCATTAGAGGATGTGTTAAATCAAAGAATATACCAATTATTTTTCCTAATAGATATAATAAAAAATGAATAAATTTTAACTATTGAAAGTGAAAAGATGAATAGTTAAAATTTTGTGTAAGTGTGGTGTATAACATTTGTGTTTAAGTGGATCCTAACTTGTGTTAACGATTCTTTCTATCAAAAGTAATATTTGGAAAAGCTTTATTTCAATTCAATTATTAAAATTTTAAATCTCTAAATTAAAAGAGGTAATGAGGTTTTTTTGGTTACTTTTCTTCTAACTTATAATGGATTGAAATGGAAAGAAATGAAAAAAGTTGGATATAACTATATTCTGATAACTTACTAAAGTTATGTCATATGTTATATATTGTAGTTTATATTGTATTTGCATATGATAGAAAAAAAAAAAAAAAATGGCCCCCCCTAAAATCTTGTTCATGCTGTCTTTAGGCCTGAGGCCCAACTAATCCCATTGTTACTTGCAAACCGCTCCTTTTATGTGTACCAAACAAAGCTCTACCATAAAAATGGTGGATGTGACCCATTAAATTAAAATTATTTACACTCAAACAAACATTGTGGGGACTCAACCCATATTTTCAATATAATTCAGATTGCTTTTAACCATTTGAGCCAACCTCAGTGGTTAGCATATGTCATAATTTGGCTCAAAACACTAATTCTCATCCGCCAATGTGCTTCCTCAGTTCCTTCATGTCTTTATAAAATCAGGTGCATTAAGCTAGAAGCCTTGCGCAAGCATCCTGGGCCTGAGAGGTTTCAGGCCCTAATTAGGTTCTGAAAATTATGATTGACAAAGGAGGAAGTGCTAGGGTTAGGGAAGATCCGATTTAGCCTTAGCTTTGACTTCTCGGCACAACAGAGCCAAGCTGGAAATGCTGAGAAGGCACTATGCATGCAGAAACAATCTTAGAGGCACAATGTATTGTAGTCAGGAATAGAGAAAAAGCAACACCTGAAAGGGTTCTTATAAATACCTGTCACCTACCAAAAAAACCACTTGAATTTTGTTTTTTTTTTTTTTTGTATTAATCTCTCGGTATTCAGAAATCACATTGGGTTTCAATTAATACAGAATCAAACTGCATCGGACCCTATAAAAAGAGAAGCTCTCTTAACATTTGTTTCTTCATTTACAAGACTCGAACTTAAGACCTTATTTAAGGAGAACTAAACTCTTTTCATTTTAACTAGCAAGTCGTTTATATTCTCTTACTATAAGAAATCCTCTCTTGTACTAATCTAAGTGTTAAAGTGTCTTTTCAAATTTTCGAGTCGGGTTCTTTCCCAATGTATCTTATATTGATATGGTGCAAAATCACTTCTAAATTTGTTCAGTTGCAACAAATTCACACATTAAAAAAAAAAAAAAAAAAAAAAAAAAAAAAAAAAAAGGAGCAGTTGCGAAACCATTTCTCAAATTTTCAAATTCAAAATTTGCTTGCATAATATTTTTTACATAAAATTATAAATTTATAATTATCATATATAATTAAATATAAGATATATATAATATCATAAGTGAATGTCTAAATAAAAAGAATCAATTATATATTGATATATTATATTATAACACTTCAAATCTCACGTTATGATGAAATTTTAAATATGAGTAGTATATAATGCTCATGACTAATCACTACTAATAAATTGAGTTTAAATTTTTTAAAGTTAGTAAATCTAGATCCAAAAGATTGTTAGACCATTTTAATTCGTATGCTTGTGAGCAGTGTGCCTCGGGGTTGATGAGCTTTCGAAATTTTATAAATCTTAATTTAAAAGATTTAAAAAGTTGTTAAATAAGTAATAAGTTTGCACCTAAGTCATTTTAGCCCAATCTAAAAGTTAAGACATGATACAAACTGTTGTCTCCAAAATCTCCCTTTCTGGCCGCGTGGCAAATAAGACTGCGAAGGCATGCCACTCATTTTGCTCAAAGTGAGAAAGAGGGATTCCCGGTGACCCTCACTACTTCCAAGCGTGGAACTC